TGTCCGAAATCAACCGAATTTTTACTTACATACATATGTATAATATTGAACGCGAGTGTAAGTGAATTATCAACAATTTAAATTCAGTGGTGGGTGTTTCCAACTAAATTGGGCACCCATTTATTCGCCGTACGCTGTTGCAATTATGAAAAGAATTTAAAAATGAAAAGCAATGCAGTTTGTATTATTTGTTTATATTTAACATTCATAAAATTTTCGCAAATATTTGTGCGGCTCGGTTGCGCGGCACTTATAGTGTGTTGCATATTTCATTTGTATGTTGGGATGATGGTCTCACATTTTGCTTGCAATGAATTACTATGAATGTGGTATAACAATATGCATTATACCTACCCGCCTAATAGTTTCAAAGAAATACTTAAGTCGGGAATTCCTTAATCCACCAGAATGTATTGAATACCCGCTACTAATATTTTCAAAGCAATAATTATAACAGGAATTTTATAATCTTTAAGTATTTAAAATCCATAATTTTTTTACTTCATTTTTTTCTATTCATTACAAAACATCCTTGAATTATTTATAGTTCTTGTTTTAAATAAAATGATATTCGAACTAAATTCTTTGCGGTCATAAGAAATAAATATGAAAGCATCTTAATATTACGTAAATATAAAAAAGTAAAGTCACCATTTTTATAAGACTTTTTTTTGTATGCTCATATATTGTTACATTCAATACCGCTATATGTAATTAAAAATTTAAACTGAATATATTTGAGTATCTTAATTTTCTCCTTATTTACACTTTTTCAAAATATTCCTATTATTCTATGCGTACATATTTGCATATTACATACAAAAAATAGAGAACAGAATTTAAATTTCAGAACGAATTGTATATATATATATGTATATTCATTTGAAACCGAGCCATTCCGAACCGAACCAAAGCACACACCCTAGCACGAGTGGCACGGTCCTTTCATCTTTCCTCGTCGTCCCCTCGCTCACAATAAACCGGTTTGGGTTACAAAAGAGTCTGTGTATGAACTGGGACTATGACATAATGCGTTTGTAGCAGCTCTAAGAGTATTGAGTTCATTTACTACTTGGTTCTTCTTTGTCTGATCGTTTTGTATACATACTTTGTAAGAAACATAAACAAGTAAGCATGAGGTGTACTCTTTGTCGGTGTGCACCGTTTCAGTTCTCTGGTATGTACATAGGTATACATATATGTGTTATAAACAAAGTGAATTTGAAAGATATTTGTTAAACAGCAATGCACAAATTTGTTTATTAAATATTAGACTTAGTAATAATACACAAGTTAGGCTTATATACAAGGATACACACGGATTCTCACAAATACGCACAAACGAAGAGCGTAAAACAAGCACTTACGATGGGACAAAGCGACGATAAAGTTACTGCCGTCCCTTAAGAAAAGCGTCGAGCGGCGCGTTTTTACCGCTCAGCATTAATTCCGATACGCCATCCTTAAATAAAGCGGCAACTTTACGTCAAATTCTCACTTAAATTCTAAAATTAGTACAAAAGAAATGAAATGTAAAACGAGTTAATTTATTAATAATACTTACATCCATATGTACAAGCATTAAACATCGCATTTAGGGACGGCAGTCAGTCAACAATCAACAGTTGATTGAACGGGTTAATGCAGACGGTGGTGTATATTTTACGTATGAAATTTAATTAATTATTACTCAATACAATATCATATAGTACATTTTATATTACATAGATATTTACTAACATAATAATACAGATTATTTAGTTACATTTATATTTTAGAAATTGGCAGTTTATTTCATTGTATTGCAATTAAGTGCTCGGAGAACCCCTCCGT